ATGCATCTAGGTTAGGTGCCATTTCAAAAGTCAAGAGGAAGGAGTTGATGTTCTCCATTTATTCATTTGGGGAGTTGAATACCTTGGCAGAGTGGGTTAACACCCTCTGTTTAGATACCTAACACAGATTATATTGATGGGATGCATAAAGGAACAACATGTATCACCACTGTGCTATACCTAACAGGTTCTGATACTAACCTTGTCTCACCATCTTAGAGAAAAAAACACTTATCTGAACATGACGTGTGCGTAAGGTTTTGTTGAGCATGTGAACAGAACTGGGTTTCCCCTCTTTTAGAAAGTGATATACTGGCACAAAGGGCCTTAAGAACTGAAACTTGTATGAAGAATGAGTCATGAGTCTTTCCCTGTCTGGGTGTACACAGTGCACCTTGTGATCTGAGATGGTTTCACAGACAGTTTTAAGACAAACACTGCAAAATTCTATAGCTATCTTTTTTCTAGTGTTGAAGAAGAGATTGCATTGCCAAATAAAGGCAGACCTTTGTTTTCTCCTATGCTCTTTAAGTAATATTTAACCATATGCCAAAGGTGTTAAATGAATGGCCTCTCCTTTCCTCATCACCTTCTGTACAACCTCTTTTCTTAAAAACAACTATGTACAAGTAATAGAGACTTTCAGTTATGTCCCCATATTTCTTCTCATGGCTGAGTTGCTAGAAAACTATAGCAGATGGACGCATGTATAAAAATTCCATTAAGCTTTTTTGTACATATCCAGTTGCCCTGCTGCTGGAGATAAGAGGTTCTGCCAATGCCAAAGACTAACCGCTGTGAATTTTAGCTGATTGATGTATGATGCTTGAAAGAGGCTGAACCTCCTTGCTCATGCAGATAATCCTTACTCTTAAACTGGTTAGATTTTGCAGAGCGACTATATCTAATGCAAAATCAGTTTTCATTTCTCTATTGCTTTCAGGTCAGGCCTACCCACAATGTACTGTAAAATTCTCCCTAACATAGTACTTCTGCTCAGTTTTTTCCTCTCCAAAAGTAAACATTTCTAAATTGAGAGCAGCCATCAGCTGTGCACAATAAGGTCAGAAATGGCAGGTGTTTCTTTCTTTTTTTTTCTGCCCCAGGGTGAATTGTGTGTGTGCTACTTCTTCATAAGCTTGTGCACTCGGCCTGAGCACAGGTGTATAAGAACATAAGGAGCATCTGTGCTTCTGTAATAAAAGCACAAGGCAACACAGCTTAGACTGGGGATCACAACTCGTCCTTCTAAGCACAACACAATCCGAACAGAATCTTTGGGGAAAACTACCCAAGCCCAGTATTAACTGTTACACTCTTGTGTCCGCCCAGTTATTCTACTACTGCTACTGAAACACTCTGTGGTTATTCTCAAAAGCAATTACTGGACTCTTGATATAGCAGCTGAAATCTAGGCTAAGATGTTCAGCACAGAGGAAAATGTTTGGTAGTTTAATATATTCTTATATTAAGTTGTATTTTTATCACAGCTCCTTGATCCTTTTGCAGTTAGGTGCACTGAATAAAAACAAGGATGAAATGATGTGTATCAGTACTCTACGCTGCTTAGTGACTCACTAGCTCCCTAAGCTGTGAGAGAGCTCTAAAACTGAATGCAAATAAGATAATACTGTCAAAATACTGACTTCTTAATACTAAATGAAATCTTTTGAACAGTCAGGTGTTATGCTACTGTGACTGACTTCATCTCTGCTAGTGGTGAAATCATAGCAGGCTGAGACAAACTTTGTGGGTGAAGTTGTTGGTCTTCTCTTAATCATTAGCTGACTATGAAAAGGAAGAAAGCCAGTCTGGTTGAAGAGAGAAGAGGGCATCTTTAAGGAACCAGAGTCTGGTTGAAGAGAGAAGAGGGCATCTTTAAGGAGAGCTTTAGCTGAAAAAAACCAGGATGTAATGTAGACATGCATTGCTGTTTAGAGCATAAAGGAGTCATCCTTCTTAATTGTATGCGGTGTTTCCTTCTATTTTTATATGCCAGTAGCCATGCTTTGCAGAACAGTGGTTGTTCCCAAAGCCCTTTGCAAGTGGGAGCCAAGAGCTTCCCAAGCATCTCGGCACTGCTGCATGCTGTGTCCCGTCAATCATCACCCTGCAGCCAAGGCAGTCTCTGCACCTCTGTGTGTAGCCAGAATGTGTGAATAGCACATAGCTCAAGGGCCACCGGGTGGCAGCTGATTTACTGCCCGGTGGTTAAATGAATTTAACTGGCCACCCACTATCCACTGACTAAAGCACAGCTCCTGCAGTTCCATGGTCCTTATGCAGCCAGATGTTTCCCATTTGTTCAAAGCCATAGATATGTAAAGGCTGATAGGCACTGAGAGAGAGAAAGCAAAACAGACTTTAACACTTCTCTATTTCCATTTATAAAACAGGGAAAAATCCTATAGTTCACTGAACACAAAAGTCTCTTGACTTACAAAGCCATATGCTTTTCCTAGCCCACCCATCTGAGTAGAGCTGAAGGTACTGAATTGTGTGCTGTTCAATACCTTCCTTTTGTACTGACACGGTTAGTATTTTTAAAGCTTGCCTATGAATGCTACATTTATATTTGTTAGTGCTCCGGGTGTTTTTTATAACCATGCTTTTGCTACTAGAGATTACATTAGAGTTGTAGCACCAAAGAGAGGTTTTTCTTTCCCTTTTTTTTTCTTTAAAAAAGTAACCTTTTAAAGCACTAAAAATTTAAATCTCTCTTCTGTTTTACCCTTAGCTGTATCCAAGGATTAAACCTAGACAAAGAAGCTTGGCATGAAATAGTACAGAAGCCAGATTCTTGAAGTACTAATCATGGATGACTTCTTACAAAAAAAAAAATAATTCATTTTGTGTTGGTTCCAGTATCATGAGACTTATTTCAATGACAATGTAATTTGAAAGCTATGAAGAATGTGCTTTGAAAACAAATGAAGGATTGATGCATTAGCAAATGGATGAGGGCATTCTACAAGACGAAATAATGCTTACAAGCAAATGAAATTCTGCTGCCTTTGGTTTAAGCAAGCCATTATGTTCAAGCACCCACTCTGATTTCTTCCAACATGGCAGAAAAGAATTTCACGTTTTTCTGCAGTAAATACAAGGACCTCTTCAATTTACCATTGAAGGAATCATCATGAAACAGACAACTTGGCTTTGTCCAAATTTATCCTGAGGCTTTTTCCAGATGGGAGAAATTAAAATACGCGCACAGCACCCAAATGCTTATAGCTGGAAGCAGAACATTTGTTAAAGCAGCTAAACCGAAGTGCATCTGAACAGTGACAACCACCTGACCAATCCATTAAGCAATAACTTTTAAAAATGCTGTAGCATCTTAGGAATTTCATGTATTCAAAATATTATGTGCTGTAACAGACAATGTAGTTTTAGATTCCTCTTTTTACAGAGAGCTTCATGTATTTATTGTATTTTGTACTTTGAAAACTAAGTGTAGAAACTTCCTGTAGTTCTTGACAACTTACTTGGTTTTACTTGACTGTTATACAATTAAACTTTTGTCTCCTCTTAAGCTTTAACTCTGGGTATTTTAGTGTCCGGTTTTTATTAGACTATCAGAAAATGTTACCAGTTACTGCTGTTCTACATTACACTAACTTTCAACTACTTTCTGTATTAAATTGAACCCCTTCTCCCCCATTTGTTCAAGACGGTCTTCCTGCATTTAAAATTAAGCCAAATCTGTTAGTTGCATATGACCTTTGTTAACCTTAAAATCTAAGGGACATACTTAAGAAAAAATTTATTTTCTAAATAAAGCCTTTCCCATGGAACTATCCTTCATCTATTTGGGAATAATCATTTGATGACAAACACTATGTAACACAGAGGATCAAATCTTTCCTTAGGCGTATTTATGAAGTGCCTCACTAACCTCACCCTTCAGGCTCATGTTTTCCTACTAGGTAAGTCCTTACTGCTTTCTGAACAGGCGCCCATAAATACAAGAAATTGTTCCTAGGAAGGAGGACATAATGCCTCAGGTGGGCAAACTTAAATCAGCTATAGTGAGAACTCTTGGAAGCAGCATGATTTTAATAGGTTGGGTATAGGGTATATAGTATCAACCACCTTTCTTGGAAAGCTTTAGTTTTTCAAGCATTAATCTTTTAAAGTATCAGACTATCTACCATTTTATTAACTGACACACATCCAGCGTGTCTGTCAGTGCCGAGTCAGCTCTGGAATATTGTTTTCCCCTTTAAAAAGCAACCTACACTCTTCCTGGCAACAAAAGCTCTGATGGTGATCACACTCTAAGAAAAAATGTGCTTATTTGCAGAAGGAATAACAGTCTTGCAAACTTTATTTCTGCTGTTTTCATATAAATACTTTCTTGTATTTCAAAGGAAGATGAATAAGATGCAGGAAATCAAGATTCCACCTGAGAGCACAGGCTTTCTGGTTGGGGGCAGAAGGGAAAGGACATTGTCCTTCAGTTTGGTCAAATGTGTACTTGCTCCTCAAATCCTTCAATGACTATTTAACCAGAATAATGCTGGGGCTTGACAGAAAGCATACAAGGGACCCACATCTTGCCTAAACACCTGTATTCAGAGATAGACAATACCATCCCTTTTCTGGTTTCAGATGCACAGGATAGAATGGAGCTGTTTGTTATTCAAAAAGCACTTATTAAACCAGACTGTCAAGCTATAATGAGCTTTCTTCCAGAAGTCATGTAAAACACCTGAAATAATACAAAGATATTGGCAAAGCAGTGTTTCCAAAGGTTGCAGTGAGAATTTATACTAAAGCTCTTGTACAGGGGATATATAAGTAGTAGATAAAGCCTGTCAGACCCATACAAATGAGGTTGCAGATTCTTCTGTTGTTGAAGTAGAACACTTTCCTTCTTTTAACTATGTGCAAAATTTGCCATGTGTAAGTTAAGGCACATTCATGTAAGGATATTACTTGATTATCTTCACCTGATCTTGCTCTTTTTTGAGGTCTCTTGAGCTGATGTCAGTGGCTCAAATGACAGTAAAACACAACCACTATAACAAGAGAGAGAGAGGAAAATGGCCCAAGGTTAAGTTTCATAAAAATACCTGTAGCAAGTATGCATGGTCCCATTTCTAGCATGTGGAAGAAAGTCTATTGTTAGAGAAGCAATTTTAGGATCTTTCCTGAATGATTTAAATTTATGTGTCATTTAAGTCAGAAGAGTTTTGGGATGATTTGCGTATTCCTTATTTAGGTCCAGAAATAAGTTATGTTCAGGTAATAAGCAAGTCAAATGTGTGTAGGAGGGTAGTTTTCTCCAAACTTAGTCCTTTCCACAGGGCACACATGGTGCAGAAAGAAGCAGACATAGTCAATACCATGAGTCACTACTGCACCTACATTTTACTCTGCTGCTGACAGAAGAGGCAGGGAAGAAGCCTGCATACATATCAGCCAAAATTACTGCCCTTAAGGGATAAGTGGCTTCTGGTTCAAGTAACCTTGTTTGTTAGAGAATACAATGTGATATAGGTAAATTTTAAAAAACAGTAACCTTTCTTAAGACTCCTTACAAATACACAAGCTATAGAAATCCAGCGTATATGTGAATACATATAACCAGCTATAATCAGTCAGAATGGAGCAGGACAGTCTCTACTAGTAAACTCTTTACCCAAAAAATAAAGATGAAAACAAACATTTTAGAGCTAAATGAACTTACATTAACAAGGTTCAATTCTATTGTTCCAGTTTTCTCAGTATCCAGTTTTCTAAACATTTCTGTGGTAGGAAGAGATGACAGACAAGGATGAATAAGAACTAATTGGAAAGTCCTCCCCTTCCTTGTGCTTCAGAAAGAAATTTAGTCCCAGAGTCTCAAATTTGACAACGGTCTGCACCCCAAACCAGAAAGGCCCACTCTGAAGTCATTGCATGCTCCTGTGCAAGAATAAGACCGAACATTTTTAATAGTTCAGTCTGTAGTATAGATTGGCAAATAATGTTAATAAGTGTTTAGATTTTTTTACATTTTTTTTTTTGCCTTTTTTTAACTCAACATTTAGTTGTTTACACAGAAGACTGGCTCTGGTTCAGATAAAAGGCTTATTTCTAGATCTAGGAGTAGCATGCAGACTGGGTTGCCAGATTCATAGCTCAGCCTTGAAGTTGCCTTTGTTCCAGTACAAAGTTCTCTGACTCACTAACTTAACCTGGACTTGAAAACACAAAGTGATAGCGTCTGTCTAGTTATTAAGCGTGTACTCACTGAACAAGGTTTCCAGCCGAATCAAACACCGGACAAAGTTATCAAAGTCAATGATGAGGTCTTCATCAGCAAAACGAGCCACAATGATTTGATGTAACTGGCAGTTCAGTTTGAACCCTAAAAATACAATGTCAAGGATTTAAAAAAGAGGAAGAAAAAAAAATGCAAAAAGCTCCAACAAACAAAAAAACCCCAACCTTACACACTGCCAGAAAGTCAACTAGCTACTTTTGGTTAAACTCTCAAATTTTAAGAGTATTTACTCCATTTTGGAAACTCCCAACAACCCCTTCTTTACTTGGAGCGATTTAGAGCTGTGACTCGGTCGTGTGTGTTCTTCCTGCTGCGTGTGCTCCCACACCTGCACTCCCGTTTCCCAGGGGACATCGCCAATTGCTGCAGCTCATGGTCCTTCCCTGGGTGATCAGGCGGCTGCCAGACTCAGCCCACTGAGACCTGAGATGAAGCAGTGGCTTTCTGTGGGTAAAAATGGGTCTCTATTTCCAAAGAGTACCTAAACTTTGGGACAAAAAGAAGCGCAGCCTCATTTTAGGTGGTGACAGGAGGGGAAAGCTCCAGAGAGCCCAAATGCAGACTTTACAATGGCCCAGAAGATCACTAAGTTAATTTGGGATCACAGGGCTCTGTGATACCCCGCTTGCCCACCGTCACAACTCAGATTTGCTTTTCAATAGTTGCAGAAGCAAACTGACTCTTCTGTTAACACTTGTGAGCGTCACCCCTTGGTGAGGCCACTTCTGATTCCCCAGGTCACAGCATCCCGGTTTTACTGGCTTATGCCAAACCCACACGTACCCCAGATTGATGCACTGGAAGACAACAGTACGCTGTTAGGAGACCAGATTGTTGCAGTTATTTGTACTGCTCCAAAGGCTGGTCACTAAGGAAAACAACTGCAAACCTGTCACTCCTTTGAGATGCTTTTAGTGTGCCTGTGTGGCAAGATGCCGCTACACAAAGGCAAGAGCCCAGGCTAAGCACCTAGATTAAACGGAGGCCTTTCAGGTCTGGGAACACAGAATTTTTCTGCTTACAAGTGATATACAGGAGACTAGTGAACATCTATCAACCCAGCTTGAAACTGATATAATTCTAAAATGAGACAGACCAATATAAATACCTGCTGTTTCCAGCGCTCTCCTCATCTCATATGAATTCATGGTACCAGATCGATCCACATCAATTTCCCTGTAAATTTTCTGCAGAACACAAAACCCAAAGTCAAAACTCGTCAATAATTCAGAGCGTGTTTTGACTTTTGTCAGAAGTCAAACATTTTGAAATGCAGCCTGCATGTTACTTAGGAGCCCTTGCAACGTTGGTTTGAAGGACTAGATACTGATCTCCGAGTTCATCTAGAAGTGGCTTTAGAAAGTACGTTCTTTTAATGCAGCAGCCAGAGCAGATAAAAGACTCCAGAGAATTCGTTGAACGTCTGTGCAAAATGGCACTATCGCTACCAAAGTGGCAAGACTGACACCAAAACCTCGCACTGTTAATCGGAAAGGATAAGCATATTTGGACACGAGTTAAAACAAAACAGAAACCCCTCCAAGAGTAAGGCAGGAAGAGAGGCAGCCTCTCCTTCAGCCCTTCACCCGAGCGCCTGAAGGACAAGCAGTCGCACCCCTGGGCTCCCAGGGACAAAACCTTGGGGACTGAGGACACAAACGCATTGTGAGCTGAAGTCAGGGTCCCTGCTTTGGGAAGTGCGACTGTACACGGTGTATGAGGCAAATCGGTCTACAGCCACCTCTACATTTGATTACGCGTTCTCCCCAAACCATCGTGTCTTACCTGGTATTTCTGAATCTTTGTCCAAAGGGTGTGGAACTCCTTCAGTCCCAGTTTGCCACTCCCATCATTCTTCTTCGAGTTAAGAAAATCTCTTCGAATGGAAGGAAAAAGGGTTTCACCTCCCTGTGCTGGGGTTTACATATGTGGGCAGTTGTGACTTAAAAAAACATGGCAATTAAGAAAAGGATGCAAGTCCTCTCTGAAGGACTCATCCTGTTGAATACATAATTGTTGTCCAAGATGCCTTTCTAAATCAGTAAGAGAACTGATTCATTTAAACCATGATCAGTTCACAAGCTCTTTCTGCTCTGCCTTTGGCAGCTCTCTTTTCAGTACATCTATAAAACAGCTGAGATGATGCCTTTTTGTTCTATGTAGTTGGTTCAACGCTGCAGTTACAGGAGCAGGAGTCCTAAGTCTGGATTATAAACAGGAAAAGCCCCAACCAAACCTGCTATTTGGTGAACTTAAGTTCTTGCACAAACACTAACAAAAGAACCTGGTCATGACATTGCTCCCAAAACCTGCTAAGGAGTCCCTACAGACTGCCATATTTTACACCAAATTATAGCACAGCATCATTTTGTTTTGGTAATTTTCCCTTTTTCTAACTATGCCAATTCAACTCCCACTGTGTAGAGAAGCTGAACACAACTATTCTTAGACTTGATCCTTCATCCTATACTTTTACCCTTACTCTTAGGAGTAAAAGCTCCTAAAATCCAGCACATTCTCTGCTTCCTGTATCCATTTCCCTCATTTTCTATTTGCTAAGTCCTCACGGCTTTACAATGCCCTTCCCAACTCCAGCCAAGTAACAGAGCAGTGAAGCGCACCCAGATGTGCACGTTTAGCTTTACAGCCAAGGCGATCCACACCGTGCTGAGAGCCAGGTGCCTTTTCCCAGCACAAACATCGCTTTGTCCCCAGCTAAACCAGAACACGCAACAGCTGGGAAAACTTCAAAGCAGATCATCCTGTCTGATAATGGATTTTTGCCACTGCCTGGGAGAATGCATGTGCCATGCTCAGCAGTAATAGCAAGGGCTACCATTTTTATTCAGGGGAACCAGGGTAAAACCAGCTTCTCCACCTCAGAAGTCATTAGTACATCAGTACAGACCCAGCACTGCAAAGGTGTCTCCCCTGCTTCAGTGCAGGCAGAAAAACATCATCCAGGAACAGCCTTAAAGGATACATCTAACAGGTCAACCATGATTTTGCATGTCTCAATACTAAAGCCATCAGATTTAATATCTTGGCCTGTAAAGAAAGAGCAGAAAAGGATTATCGTTGCGTGCTGTACCACAGCACCTTCCTAAATAGCTTATGAGCTCTATAACCGGTGAATACACATCAGTCCTTATTTGCTTCCGTGGCATCAGCGCCTTCCTTTGCAACTGACAAAGAAACTTAGGCTAAAAGTTAGCTGTGATGTTTCCCCAAGCAAACAGCCCAGTCTAGTTTGTAGGCGTGCTACAGAAGAGACAGAGATAAAGCTTTCCTGCCCTTATTTGTTTGCCTGCAAAGACAAGGGGGACTTTTGTGGACAACGTGGACTTCTGACCTATGGAGGTCAGTGGTAGGTAGCTTCATCTAAGGGAAGAACATCAAATCAAGCCTGACAACCAGCAATACACCATTGCTAACTAGCTGGTGCACACAGACATACAACACAGTCCTGGCTACCTGGCTAAGAATTCACTTTGGAAATTAAAGAGACCCTTATTTCTCCAAGCACTTATTTCTTGAGCACTGTTTAATGGAAAGGAAGATAATGCAGAGCCAAGCTCTGAATCACTTCACAGAAAAAGCAGCCCAGAGTTTCAAAGTTTCTCCTCCTCCTCAGGGACATCCCAGACCATTGGCTGGGCTACTGTTTGAATCCCGAGTCGTTCAATATTAAAGTATCAGCAACACCTTCTCTTGATTATTATCAAGCATTACTCAAATCCGTCCATCTTCCTGGCAGCCAATTCCCTGTAGCAGATGCTGGGATAAAAGGCAGCCATACGCACCCTGTGAAACACACCTGCGGTGCTGGCACAGCCCCAGCGTTCCTGCAGCCCCACGAAGAAGCAGAGACAGCACGTGGCCGTGGCCGTACGGAGAGCCGAGCCGCAGGTCTGGGGCACAGCCCAGGGCTTTGAGTCTGCCCAGGTTGGTGGTGCGCTCCGTGCTCTCATGGCCACGCTGGAAACCTGCTGGTCGCCAACTGAAGCCGCAGTTGGAGGAAGGTACTTACGTTTCGCCATGATTTTATTCAAGATGTTGCGCAGTTCAAAGGCGGAGATCTCTGCATCCTGTGGAAAAGAGGAAAACAGGTTTTTCACTGTGAGCTGCAGACATCGTCTCATAAGCAGCCTCTGACTCCTTTGGGTGAGTTGGCCAAGTTCAAACATCCCTTGGAGTTTGTTTCCCTCAGATGGAAACGCAAGTGGTAAGCTCTCTCCCCACATCCCTTTCCCAGGAGCACCAGCAATTCCCAGGCTTTAGCACACCAGGCTGAGGGGTTTGCCCGAGCCCTCGGGCAGGTGAGAGCAGCCTGGGGAGAAGCAGCATCTCCTGGAGGGACCCATGCGCCTGCACCAAATGCTCTGCCCAAAGGACAGAATTAGGGACTAGCAGAGATAAAAGCTGAGCCTGCAGTTCAAAGAGAGTGAAGATTGTTCACCAGGAGCACTCACAAATCCGTTGTATAAGCAGATGGGTGATTACACAGATTTTTTTTTGCATGCACAATTTTGGACATGCTTGAGATCTGACTCAGCGCAAGAATTAAACTCCATCCTAGGGGAGGCATCCCTCTTACCCACTCACCCATGTTACCAGTAAGATGTCAAGAGAAAAATACTTACACTTCCTGCTAGCTGTCCAAAAAGCTTTTTAAAGCTGGGTTCAATGTCATCTTCACTGATCTCGGTCTAGGAGAGAAACAGAGAACATGGAAAAGAGGAGGAAATTTTCTGCCCAAGGACTTAACGCATTTCCTTGCCCCTAGTAAAACACAATTTGACTGGCAAAGCTGAAGGTACAGAGTACTTTTACTTTGATTTTAATCAGTTTTATTTTCAGAGGCACCTCAAAATGCTGGTGTTGCAAGCACTGCAGGAATTAGAGAACTTTCGCAATGGCTTTTACTAAGAAAGAAAAATATTAGAATTTCTTTATTAAAAAAATCACTACTGAATTCAGGATTTCATTGTTGCTGCTGCTACTGCTGTGACTAGCTGTCTTCATTTAAAGAAATGAAAGCAAAATGTTAACTTCTTATCTTGCAAAAAAAAAAAGAAAAAAAAAAATCACACAGGGGTAGATGCATTAGCAGGCAAAACATCCCCAGCTCGAGCAATGCTAAACATACGGTGAGCCACTACTTATTCATGGAAACAACATCACGTGCAAAACCGCCCGTACGGCTAAAAGGCTGCACTCCAGGATTCCTGGAGAGCAAAGGGAATTTCCCACGGCTCCAGTTACCTCTGCAGAGAGTTCCTGATCTCCCCTACCTGGGAAGCCCAAGCTCACCGCTCAGGATAAAGGACAACACAGGTTTCCATTATTGCGTATAGGGTTTCCACGTGCTGGACATTCAGCTCTGGTTATTGAAAGGTCTGTTTCTAAAGTGGAACAACAGTTCTTGATAACGCCTATAGAAAAAACACTGCCCTGCACAGGGAACAGGGACTCCAACCCCACTTATTTACAACAAAATTATCTCCATTTAAAACATTTAAGATATACCTCTTCAAAATTGGCCTCAATTTCATCATCTATAACCCTAGAAAGATAAAGAAATCAATATTAAAAATAAAGCAAGTCACTTCTCTGATGCCCTTCCTTCAAGTTTCAGTTAAAGAGAGACTTTTTAAATTACGGGAATAACGACGAGTGTTCAAAAGTTACTGGATTACTCAGCCACAGACACTGCATACCACCAGTGAAAGCAGTATTTTGCCAGTTAATAGCAACAAGAATTTCACAACACATTACAAACTGTGCAACATCCCGCAGAGGCACAGACAGGATTTTGGGTCAGATAGAACCCTTTGGGTCACTCTTAGTGCCACTGCCTACACACCTTAGCCCCAGACTAGGCTCTTGGGTGCAAATCAAACTTTATTAAGTCTTTTTTTTTTTTTTTCCCCCTTTATAACAGCAAAAAGTGAGCTCCTTAAAGCAATTTGGACATGCCAGAGCCGGAGGAGAAATGTTTCACGCTGTCCCCCAGCTGCGGTGGGAACAGCACAGCTACAGTCGGTACATAAGCCCTGCTAAGGGCCCATCAAAAGCTGAATGTGCCTTCACACAACTGACATCCCAATTTTCTCACCGCTACAGAAACATGCAACAAAAGATTACAGAATAGTAGAAAGGTTTCTGCTTGCTTTCAATTGGGGAACGCAATACAAAAGACCCCACACCCCTTCCCAAGGCATTAGCCCAGCTGCTCTTAAAAGATGTGATAGGTCTAAATTTTTTCGTGGCTTCACAGCTGACAGCATGGTTTGAGCCAGTTCCATTAAAACCCATTTAAATTTTATCAAAGGTATCATTTGGTTGAGCGAGTATCTTGAATTTTTTTTCCAGCCTGATCTCAAAGGTGTGAGATCAATTGTTGCAATCAGTGTGTACCCAGACAGCCGAAAGCACACGTGCACCTCTGTCTCCCAAGCAGAGAGCCCAGCCTGCTGCTCAGGGGGGCTTTCTTCTCGCCAGACCAGCTGCCTACAGCCCAATAACTAAAAATGTCTACCCAAGTAGAGCTGGTAGTAATAATTATTACTATATTATATTATTATTATTATTGTTTTGCTTACACTATTCCTTCCTGCAAAGTTTACTCAGACCTTCCTCAGTTGCACTTGGGAAAACGGGACAAACACGAACTGCCACCACCTCATCCACGCAGGGCGATTGCGCGTTCCCCCCTCCAGCTCCCTGTGGGAAGCCGACGTACCCCAGCCCTGGGCTGCTCCATCCTTTCACACCCGTGAGAGGGACCGAGATCACCCATGTGCCCATACCGCTCCTACACGGTTACAAAAAAAGCTACATACGTGGAATTTGCATTTTTTTCAGAGAAGACTCGCAGACAGAAATCCCCATTCTTGTTGGGTTCAAAGGTCGAGGGCACGATGATATATTCCCCTGCAGGGAGCT